ATTCTTTTCAACTGTATTGCATCATTTTTTTGTTCTATCAAAGTAGCCTTCTCCATAATTTCAGTCAAGGATTTCGAGACATATAATTTCAGTTCTGCTTTGATTTCATTCTTCAAACCCTTAATGAAAACACCCCTCAGCAGCTCTCTGTCTTTGTTTTTCTGATGAGAAGTCACCATTTCAAATTCATCTCTATAATCCTGTACAGATCCTGTTTGTTTCAGACTTAACAAATGATCATATGGATTCTGAATTAATTCTGGTTGAAACCTACGTATGACAGATTTCTTTAGGGTCTCCCAATCAGTTACTTCAGTTTGACTTTCCCACACATGAAACCAGTTTAAAGCCCTATCCTCCATTGCCACCATAGATGCTTCAACCCTTTCTTCCTCATCAATATTATTCAGTCTGAAATATCTTTCCATGCGTATAACCCAATTATATGCACCAGTTCCATTAAACAGGGGTAAGTCAATCTTCCTACCAGACTGTATAGGGTTTCTATAATCCTCATTTCTTCGTCTGTGATTTTGAACATGAGAGTGAGTAGAATTACCTCTGGAATGACTCGGACTACTTGAGTTTCTCGATCGATGAGTTTGTGGCGATCGCGATCTCCTTCTTTCGCGCCGTTCATCGTTCATCGTATCCAACTTCTCCGTTAGTTTCGCGATCGCAGCTTGCATCTGAATCAATGTTTCTTGCGTCGTATTTTGGTTACGCTCCATCGCCTCCATCTTCTGTTCCATTTTTGCTCTGGTTCGAACCATTCACAGCAAGAACGGAAAAAATTTCTGGTAATTCAACGAAGGATCAGGTCACCAGAAAGAATGCTCTGATACCAATGATAGAACACTGGATAAATCAGACAATTTCAAACAGTATATCAATCTCAAGTAGTAAGAATTGAGAGAATTAGGGTTTATTGATCTGAGAACAAGAAACAAGTACAAAGAAATGGGTGGGACAGTTCGAGATGCCCAATCTCCTACAAGCCAGTCAACAAGTCTAACAGCCTGTCTAAAATTAGCTAACTCCTTCTATTTATAGTCATTTATCCCCGCAGGGATAATAGAACTGACTTAACAGACTATTAACTACCCAACTTCCTATTTCTTCTTGTGTATACTCTGTCAAAATAATGAGCTGGCAGCTGCTCGTGTCTATCAAAAACACTGTATTTGAAGGTTTTGAATGTCATTGTCCTTGATATTCAAATGATAGTTCATGAGAATGCAATGTGGTTTAATCTGATGCGTATGTAATGGGGGATGTCCAGGACCACTGACTATACATAATTACTTACATATTGATTTTATTTTGGCTAAAGGGTCAAATAGGCCCTTGAAATGACTTAAAGTGTTCAATTAGCCCCTTATATAGGAGGTTCTTTCCGGCTGTCGCCAATTTGGGCAGTTCCCGGTGGAATTTTTTGATGAATTTTTTTAAGCATCTTCTTCATTAAGTCTAGTTTACTCATACCAAATTTCAGCTAAAAAGTCAACCGGGAAGGCAGTCAAATGATTTTTTGAAGATAATTGCGAAGTTAAACAGCGCAGTACATTTTCGAAAATCATTTTACTGCCTTTCCAGTTGAATTTTTAGCTGAAATTTGGTATGGTTAAACTAGACTTAATAAAGAAGATGCTAAAAAAATTTCATCAAAAAATTCTACCGGGAACCGCCCCAATTAGCGACGGCCGGGCAGAATCTCCTATATAAGGGGCTAATTGAACACTTTAAGTCAGTTCAAGGGCCTATTTGACCCTTTAGCCTTTTATTTTTTATCTTAGATCAGCAAGTGAATAACTGTTACCAGAAAAATTTAATTACAAAAAATGCCATGGCCTATTTGTATATCATGTTTGCACGTGATTAAGTCACATCATGCTTGCTGTTCAGGCATTCTGGGATTATGTTGAAAAAAAGAAAATTGGAATTACCAAAGCTGAATTATCAGTGACAAGTGAATGGTCTCCTGATGGGCATTATTTTATGACTGCCACAACAGCTCCCAGGCTCCAAGTTGACAATGGGTATGCATAATCCATTTCGTATTGCTTGCTGAATGCTGATAGTAAATTTGTAAAGCACGACCAAGTATTGACAAATAGTTGGTTTTGTTAAAGGATTAAAGTCTTTCACCATAATGGATCACTGTACTTCAAGAAGATGTTTGAAAAATTGTACCAGGTAAAAATCTTGACAGCTTTTTCATCATTTGGTTACTATGGAGACTAAATAAATTTCTCAATGGCTAAAGTTTTCTGATACAGGTTGACTGGAAACCCGAGTCACCGGATAAGTTTGGTGAAATTTCACAGTTCGTAGATGCTGTGAGCTCTCTGAAAATAGTCGAGCCTAAAACTCAAGGTTAAAGAAGATAAACTTGAAACGGATAGAATTTGGTATAAATTTGGTTGGTAAGGATTGAAATGAAACTTGTTTGGATTTCAGGACAAGGGACAAAGAACTTAAAAACTATACCTGCCAATCCTACTACACAAAAACCTGCTGCTTATCGTCCCCCACATGCTAAGGCAGTAGCAGCTATCCAAGCAGAGGTATGCAAGAAATTTCCAAGTCCATGTCGTTTATGGGAGCATTTTAGTTCTTCTTAAAGAAATGCTGCCAATAAGATAAAACATGAGTAAAGTGCACAAGTAAGACCATTTATGTTTTTTTCTAAGAATCAGAGGAATTTAGTCCTAATCAATATTCTAAAAGGCGCTAGTCATGCGGTGGCTGGCCGCCTAGCCCTTATCCTGCCTAGGTATCCCTCTATATTTCTTTATTTCTATTTTTTATGAGTTTCAATATTATTTAGGAAAAATTGAAAATAATAATCCCAACTATTGCTGGTCCGCTGATAATAATCCCAACTATTGATTATTTTTGTATAATCCCAACTATATGGACCATCCGCCAATAATGGTCCATGACCAAATATTACCTCCTATAAAAAGTGAATTTTAAATAGAAATTAAGCGTAAAATTAAAAGATGGGATTATTTATAGGGATTATTTGCTATATCTCTTCTCATCCACTTTAGAAACTATGAGAATTTATTTATAGGGACCATTATTGGCGGAAGGTCCCTAAAGTTGGGATTATTCCGAAATAATCGATAGTTGGGATTATTATGAGCGGACCATCAATAGTTGGGATTATTACTATCAATTTTTCCTATTATTTACTAATAGCATCATAATACTTTTGATAATAGAAATAGCTCATATATTTATTAAATGTTATGTTTTTGTAGTAAAATTGTCGATAATTAAATATTCTCTAAAAATGTCATATACCAACAACAGCATTACCTCAGTGCCGCAGAGGCTCCCACCTACGGTGGGGTAAGGAGAGGTCGGATGTACGCAGCCTTACTCTTGTACTAAAGCACAGGGAGATTGTTTCCAGATGACCCATGGTGAAAATTGCGTCAAAAATTGTATGAACTGACTATGCTTCATAACAAAGAAGGGCAGACAGTTTCGTGAGCCATTTTTCTTTATTCCATCATATTCCCAAGCTAAAAAATAGTGAATCTTTGGTTCCATTGCAAATGATGGATTGCTTTTTTTTGTTGAAATATGAAAATAAAATTTATTGGAATAGAATAGTTATTGATTAAACAATGTTTTATGATAAAACAAAGAACACAAGTTGGACCAGAAACAAATTTAATTAGGGCTGCCTAGGCACCGCCTAGCTGCATAGGCGCCCGACTGGTTTTTCCTACCGACTACAACGATTTTTAGAACCGTGGTCCTAATAAAAGTAGTTAAAACTTCTTTTAGGAGTAAGAATATAATCATTTGGATGCACTGTGATAAATTCTTGAGCTACAGCAGTTTTTTCATTGAAGTTTTCTTGTAGGCTCAGCACCTGCACATTCATTAATTAGTTTTTTGTGATCTTCCAGTTTTTCTACTGGTATAAAAACACAAGATTGGATTTGTTTAGTGTGGGTGTGCTTATAAAAGAAGCTTACAGCTTAGTTAAAGTTCTTTTGTGCTTGTCATTTTGGAGTATTAATTATTTAGAAACTCTTTTGGAAGTAAACTAAGAAACAGTTTCTAAGAAGCAACTAAGATAGCAAACCATTTGCTGTTTTGAACTTCTTCAGTAGAGCCTACAATTATAAATTTATAAGGTCCACAGCATAAAGATTGCATAATCTATTTAATAAATGCATAAATTCCAAGTTTGGTGCTAAAAACAAATGTTAGATTGTTAGCCGTGTTCCATGACCATCCATAAGATTGGATGCTATGATTGCTATCTGACATTGCTCTTGCATGCTATCTGACATTTCCATTGTTTCTCATTTTACAGTTACTTGGTGGAACCCCATCAGGGTAAGGCATAACCATCCATATGTGCTTCTTAATTTCCCCTTTTTATGATTCCAAAATCTGGAGGAAAAACTCCTTTCGAAATAGCTAATCATTTTTTTTTTCCATGAACGCAGAGATAAGAGCAAGAATGCTCTGAAAAACCAGAGAAAGAGGGAAAAACAGAGGGAGAAAAAGGCTGCTGAAGGTTCATCTTCTCCTGCCAAGGAATGATTGGAGAGGTCAGGGTTGAGTTCCGTTCAATGAGTTGCTTTGGTTCACCAGTCCCTCCAAAAAATGGTTTCTGATAGTCATAGAAGAAAGTTATGTTCCGACTTCACAAATTTGAGTTAACATTGTTTTAGTTGAAAAACAGATTCCTTTCTATTTATGGATTAAAATCCATAAGTTCAATTGAGATCTGTTACTCTTTTGTAGGTATATGGAATTTGCCTTTTATTAGTTCTTGTCCCACACTCCCACTCCACTCACTCCACGTCTCCACCATTGATATTTTTGGATTCAAGTAAATGCTAAGAGAAAAGATGTAATCATGGAAGTGATGTAACTCGGAATGCAGGAAAAATTAATGGCTTTTTATTCTTTTAATATATTTAAATAGCAATATTCTACTTTTCTCAACATATTCTAGTACGTACGACTCCCATGCTGTCCAATTAACAATTACACTTCAACACACTATGTATGTGGCAATTGCCAGCGTTCAATTGCTTCCAGACATACAAACTATTGTATAGAATACTATAGCAAAGATGAAACACTTCATAAATAAACATGTGTAGAATAAGCACAACACTAAAAATTGATAAATATCAAAATCCGGTTTTGGGATGCAGAAAAATGGAAAAATTGCATCAAAGGAATCAATCTTTGAGTTAAAATTTTGACGGTAAGGGGGAGCTTAATTCTTGAATCTGATACTTCGGCTGCGAGCAGCATTAATGCCAGTAGCTTCTCCTCCATAAGGACCAGATGGTTTCTTTATCTCCTGCACCTGCCCTTTCCTACGCTTAACTGCATCCTGGTGTTTTGTCTGCAGAAAAGATATGTATTAATTGCATATTTGTATTAATCACTGAATGATTTATAGTGTAATTTCTAATATATTAAATAAAGAGCATTATTTTTGGTGGGGGCATACCCTATACTTCTTCCTCGGATTCTTGCCTTGCTTGTTACGATGACGAGTTAAACCCCTGTTCTTCTCAATCTGGCACACATTAAAGAGGGCAAACAAATACACATTTAACAAGGTTAAGGAAGGATGATGATACTGAAATATGCCAATATAGCACAACTAACCTGGTAAGTGATCTGACGCTTCTCATCATCTGCAGTTTTTTCGGGGAGAGATGTGACTAGCTGAGGCCTGCATGAAGTTGCGCACACAGAAATAATCAAAGTAAGCATGAGAGATTTTTGGCCTCTGCTAACTCTTCTGGAAGGAATGTCATAATAAATATTTGTATCCCAAGCTAATGAGGAGGAAACACAGACCTTGAATACTTATTCTGTTTAGTGGCAACCTTTTCGGAGTGTTTTTTCTCTACTTGTTTGTAAAACTCAAGGTCTGAGTCTGTTTCACCACCATTTGCATCAGCCCCTCCGTCATCACTTGTGTGGCCAGCGGATTCCTCATCTTCTTCAACATCATTATCATCATCTTCAGCAGATTTTATGCCAGCTCCTGCAAGAACTCTCAACTCATGTTTCCTTCTCCTCTCCCCAACATCATCTCTCTTTGGCAAGTCATCATCCCCAGAAATAACCTATTGTTACAATAAAAACATAAACCAAAAGCCAGATATTGGAGATGATGTAAAAACATGCATATGCATCACATCACCATTACCCCCCCCCCCCCCCCCCATGCCGCAAAGGCTCCCACCTACGATGGGGTAAGGGGGGGTCGGATGTACACAGTCTTACCCCTGTACTAAAGCACAGAGAGACTGTTCCCGGATGACCCATAGTGAAAATCGCATCCAAAATTGCATGGTCTGACTACAGCTTCATAATAAAGAAGTGCGGACAGTTTAATGAGCCATTTTGCTTTATTCCATCATATTTTCAAGCCAAAAAATAGTGAGTCTTTGGCTCCATTGCAAATGATGGAAAACAAAAGGCCATTTTTCAATATTTTTTGTCCCTAGAAAGAGTTCAGCATTAAAAGACAACTTTCATTTGAAGTAGAAACACTTGTAAAGCCAAGTGGCAGGCAATTTTAGTCTTTTACTCGAAACAACCTTGACAATAAAATTTTAGGGCTATAAGTGTTCATTCATAATTTACAAATAATAAAAACTTACAATGACACCTTACTCAACCATGATTACTATTTTCCTGGGGCGTCAGGGCCGTTTTTTAGGGGGTTAATTAGGTTATCCGGAACAGGGCCCCCAGATTTATGGGGCCCCGGATTTTCAAAAATTTATTAGTATTATATATTAATAATGATGAGTAAAATACAATTAGTAAGGAAGAAAAATATAGATCCATCTTTTTTCATTGGTCCTTAAGTTCTTTTTTTCCAAGCAGATGGTCCTTTAGTTCTCATTTACTCAAATTGTTTGAACAATGAGGCGTGCTACTTTAAATCAAGAATTAAGTAAGTTTTAGAAAAAAAATTATTACATTATTTAATAAGTATTCAATTCATTTAAGTATAAGTATTTGAATTTGTACCTCTGAATCCTTGAATTATCAAGTATAAGTATTTCAATTGAGTTTCTATATTAAAGTGGGGCCCCAATTTTACATTTGAAACCGGGGCCTCCAAATTTATTAGACGGCCCTGTGGGGCGTGGGTGGGGACTGGGGAGCATGTTAGGATTTAGGAATGAAAAAACAAAATAGCTAATGATGGAAAAAATATGGGTTCGTTCACACGAGTTTAAAACGAAGCAGCGCTACAAAAAACAAAACTAGCGTATGATAATTTTTCAAAAGTTCAGATTGAAGCTTGAGGTTGTGAGCTATGCTGATTAATAATGCACTTATCAGTTTATATAAAAATGGGATGATACAACGAACCTTGGCTTTATTTACTTTAGTCACAAGCTGAGAGAATTTCTTTGAATGTGCCATGCCTGCATTACCATTGGACATCATATGAGAACCTCCTACTGGGTCCATAACTTCATCATCATAATCCCCCAAGGTTGCAAGTTGCCTGTTGGATGTCCATTTCATATAAATAATACTACATTAGACCAACTAGCCGATTCAAGTGTTACGGTTGACTTCACTTTGCATCAGGAAAAAAACAGATCGACCTTGAATTTTTAAAATAATGACAAAAGTGAAGAAAAAATACCCGTTCACAGGTCGAAGACGCTTTTTAGAACTCTCATTTTTTTGTGCCAAAGAACTAAAGAGACCTTTCTGTTTGAGCTTCTCCTCAAGAGAAGCTCGCATTTTCAACATTTCCATACTTTGTCTACCTACTTGGTTATCCTGCAGCATTTAAAGCCAATCTCATTATGCACAGTATTCTAAATCCTAAAAGTATTGATAATAGTAATCATGATGCTTTTCTTTACATGCACGGATAACCTACCTGAAACTTCCGCTTTAGCTTATTTTTCTTGTCATCCTTGGGACTGTTCAACTCCGCTGACTCGGTAGCTGCATTAGACTAGAAACAATTTGTGAAACATCATTATGATCCACACAGCACTTATGCCAATGCTGGCCAACGGGTATCATGAAATTTAAAAGAGAAACATAAAGAATGGTGTATGTGTACATATTTGTATAAAACTATAAATACATCAGGGAAGAATTTAATTACCTCAGCTCCTTGAGTATTAATTATAACCATAGAGGGATCATCATTTGGTGGACAATCAGTATCGAAGGGACCATCTTCTGTATTTAGGCTCTCTTTGGCTCCAGTACCACCACACTTGCTCACAAGAACTTCGAGATCAGATGGAAGATTCCCATCAAGTTCTTTCATCTGCAATGAAGAATTGAAGATGCAGGAAGTAATCAAAATTATTAATAGCTGTCTGAATTAAATCCACCAAACAATTCAAGTATCCGCGTCTAAATCAAATGTTGCAGATCTGGCATGGTTTCAACAGGCAGTTAAGAGGCGGATTTTGAGGCGCCTCAATATGAGGCGCATAGATTAGGTATTGAGGCTTAGGTTTTTTTAGCAAGATAAGAGGCTAACACCTTATCTTGCTAAAAAAAACTCTTATCAAAAACTCAAGATAAGAGGCTTAGGTTTTTTTTAGCAAGATAAGAGGCTTACACCTCAAAAAATTCTGGAGTTCTGATTAATTACTAGAGGGAGACTTAGGGTTATCTTGGGAGGGAATATGTTTTCGTGCTTTGGGTTGGGTTTTCTGGTTATGTGTTCTCTTTCTCTTGTTGTTTTCCTTTCTTGTACTCCGTAGCTTTTATTTCTCTTCAATAAAACTCTTTCTTTCAAAAAAAATCCATACTGCTGCACAATGATTAGAATGGGATGACTATGATAGTAATGATGGAAGGGATGGTGGAGTGAAGGCTATAAGGTATGATGATGGTGGTAAGGCTATAAGATATGGCGAATTGTGCCATATGTGTGTTGTGTTTGTTTGTGTGTTGGGATTCTCATTTTGAATTATTGTGTTTGATGAAGTGATCATATAATGTGTTTGTGTTTGATACTTTTTGGACTTACAATTATATGTATCTTTAGTTGGCTTGTACTTATTTAAACTTTTTATTTATTTGTTGTTATATTTTAAGGCTTACGGCTCAGTACGCCTCAAGGCTTACATGCCCAAACTAGCCTTTTCAAACCTTGAGATCTGGAGTTACTTCTAAATTTGAAAACGAAAAAATACATCCGAATGTGTATGATATGGTTCTTTGCATTAGGAGACTCAAATACTCCATATTATTTTAGTTCTTATTCATCAAGTTTGTAGTGGGAATAGCATCAATTGAAGATAAGATGTGAGAGTTTCAGTTGTGGTGGTTTGATCATGTAGGTAGATGACCAAATGATGCACCTCTTAGACAAATTGAGACGTGGGGAGAGGAGAGGGGATAACCTAGACACACCCGAACTAGAATGATCAAGAATGATATGATAATACTTGGGTTAGATGATAGTATGACATTGAAGAGGGCAAAGCGGAGGGAGAGCAAACATGTAGAAGATTAATCCTATACTGTATGTCTATCTCAAGGTTGTTAAACTCGAGATCCTAGCACGGATCGGAAGGGGTCTAGGAGATCGTAACTCGGGGATTGTAACTCGGATCGTAAGATCCTACGGTACAATATACTAAGTATATATATATATATATATATATATATATATATATATATATATATATTAAGCACTCAATTAATATTTATAACTAATATTAATAATTAATAGTAGGAGTAATAAGTTAATTACGGAGTATAATTAACAGAATGTCAAGGCTCAAAGCATTTATAAAACACTTAACATATCAAATTCGAAGATAAATTACAAAACATTTGAGATAAGAAGGTCAAAGGTAAACTCCAAAACATTTGACAACAAAATATCATCTTAATATAAAATCATCCATCATTTGACCCACTTGCCATGACCTAGTCGCTACTCGGTAGCTTCAGGACAATAAAAAGCAGTCCCAAAAGATTACAATTGGAACTGCCAGAACAACTAAAGCGGCTGAAAGATAGAAAACAGAGAAGAGATGAAGCGGATGAAAGACAGAGAGCAGAGACGAGATGAAGAAAATGAAGCAAGAAGATTTATTTAAAGACTTAAAGAGCAAGAAGCTGGGTAGATTAACGTCGCAGCCGGTGGCGCTAGGGCTTCGTTCATCCTGATTCGCGATGTTTTTTTTAACTTGTCGTTCTGCGACTTCTTTCCCGTTTTTTAGCTTCGAAGTCGCAACTTGGGTAGATCGCAAAATCGGACGAGTTACGATTCTACTCGTCGATCCGACGATCCGAAGTCTTTTTCCGATCCTAGCAGCGATCCAGCTCGCATCTCCCTATTTTGATCGTAAAAACATACGATCCTACGAGTTGGATCGCGATCCTAACAACCTTGGTCTATCTCCTTCTCTATGTAATGTTTTTTAACTCTTATATCATATGCCGACTCACACCCCGAACTCTTTTGGGAACAAAGTTCGGTTGTTGTTGTTTGTTTTATTCATTAAGGCTGTGACAATGATGAGTGAGGGACTGGTACTCATTTTTTACATCTTAGTAAAAAAGACTAACACTTTTCCATCATTTTGACTTGGGAATATGATGGAATAAAGCAAAATGGCTCACTAAACTGTTTGCGCTTCTTTATTATGAAGCAACAGTCAGTCCATGCAAATTTCGACGCGATGTTCACCTTGGTTTAAAAAAGCGCGCCTGAGGCGCGCAAAGGCGCTAGGCGCATATAGGCGATTGGTTCATCGCATTCTACATACCCAGGCGGCTTAGGTTCTCAGAGGCGAGCGCGTTTTACGCTTTTTAGCGCCTTTTGCGCTACTGAGAGGCGAGCGCTTTCCGCGCCTAATGGAAGTGTCTCTGCCGATTCCCATTCCAATTGTTTTGGCGATTCAGATCTCCTTCCAGAAAATTCGTAGGTGGTAACCGTGGTATTATAAATTGATAAGGTAAGGTCCTCACTCCTCACTCCAAGACTCCAAGTCTCTCTAGTCTTCTCCTTCCTTTCTGCCTTCTGCGTTTGGTTCCCTGCATCCGCTATATCTCGCGTTTGAGTCTTCCGACTTTTCTTTAGCTGGTATCTCGCGTCGCAGAGGTAAGCCTCTTTACTTTTTTTTTTGTCTTCTGCTATTTATTCTCTTTTATTTTAAGTTGTTATATTTATTTAAATATTAAAATTATTTAAATAAAAAGTTAGATAACTGATATATACGTTGTATTATCTTTCACTATTTATAAGTTTTGATAGATAACTGAAAAAAGTTAAGTTTTTTAAGTATTGTAAGTTTTATGTTTATAAAATTATTTAAATTATTTATATTTACAAATCTGTCTGTAATTAATTTTACAGAATTGAATTTGTGTGATAGTTTATTAATTAATATGTATTATTTTATACTGTAGTTTATTAGTTTATTACATATTACATGCCAATGATAATATCAAACACTATATAAGTATATAGTATATATTGTAGTGTTAGAACACTGGTTTATTAACAATTTTTTAACAATTGTATATTGTTTTACACTGGTATATTCAAGCATGTTATATACTGGCAGGGAATCAGACTTTTGAACACAAGCAGTGTTCATTAATAAGCTTGAACAATATACAATTTGGAATCAGACTATATTGTAGTTTTAAGAATTTTTTTATATAACAGTTTATTACATTAATTATTTAAATTACTATTAACAGATACTCAGTTTGGAATCAGACTATATATTACTACAACATATACACTCAGTTCTTACTGTATTACACTGGAATCAAACTGTTTACCTAACCGAGTATTACTAAGTTCTCACTGTAATACTAAGTTCTTATTGTATTAAAACTCAGTATATGTTACTAATTTCTTACTGTATTTAAAGTTTTAAACTGAGTATCTGTTACTAAGTTCTTAGTTCTTACTGTATTTAAACCGAGTATCTGTTTAAACTGTTTACTAAGTATTACTGTATTTAAACTGAGTATCTGTTTAAACTGTTTACCAAGTTCTTAACTTCTTACTGTATTAAAACTGAGTATTTGTTAGTTCTTACTGTATTACCTCAACAGTAAACTGAGTATTTGTTAATACTGTTGTAGTTTGGATATAACAGTATATTTTACATTGATTACTTGCATTGTTTTAGTAGTCATATCTTACTGTATTACTTCAACAGTCCACAATGCATAGGAACTCAAAGTTTGTGATTATTTCTTTCAATAACATATATTTGTTAGGGATTCAATGGACTCAAATTCAAATTCTTCCGCGGGTTGTTCCGAATCTAGAGACCTTGCTAGAAAATATGGGACACCGGATCCTACCAATAGGAACAATTTCACTTGCAATTTCTGTTTGAAAGTAACTAAGGGAGGGGTTTTTCGTTTAAAACAACATCTTGTTGGGGGGTTTAGGAATGTTATCAAATGCCCTAAATGTCCCGAACATGTTCGGGAAGAAATTAAGGCATATATGTTGAAAAAACAAGCTTCCAAGGAAGAAAACGACTTGCTCCCAAAAATGGCCCAATTTGATGAGTATGATGGTGATGAGGAAGAAGATTGTGTGGATCTCACAAATAAATTGTCATCTGCCAAAAGACCAAGACAAAAGGGTCCAATTGATGTTTACTTTAGACCTAACCCCGAAGATGTTCTCAAAGGAAAGAAAGGCGGGAAACAACAAACAATCAATGAAATTTGTAAAAAGGAATTAAGGGCTAAAGTATGTGGAGACATATCTAGGTGGTTTTTTGATGCAGCTATTCCATTTCATGCTGCGAATTATGATAGCTATAAAATTATGATTGAATCAATTGGGCAATTTGGTCCTGGATTGAAACCGCCTAGCATGTACGAGTTAAGAGTTCCATTACTTAGAAAGGAAGTGGAGGATACCCAAACAATGCTGGACGAGCACAAGAAGGAATGGGCATTAAAAGGTTGCTCGTTGTTATCTGATGGGTGGCGTGATAACGTTGCCCAAAAGGAGATTATTAATTTTTTAATTAATTCTCCAAAGGGTTCGGTATTCATCAAGTCCATGGATGTTTCAGAAGTTTCAAAAGATGCAAATCTTATGTTTAATATTCTTGACGAAATGATTGAAGAAGTTGGTGAACAGAATGTAGTCCAAGTTGTAACTGACAATGCATCCGCTTATGTGAAAGCGGGTAAGTCATATCAATTTTACTTTTTTACAAATGTTTTTTCAATATTTTTAACAAAAAGCTAAATTGTTAATTGTGTTATAAAACTTTCGTAGGAAAATTGCTAGAAGCGAAACGCCCACACCTTTATTGGACTCCTTGCGCTGCGCATTGCATTGACCTTATGTTAGAGGACATTGGGAAGATTCCCAAAGTTCACAATATTTTGAAGAAGGCAATTTTTATGAATGGTTTTATTTATTCCTATGTTCCTCTTGTGAATATGATGAGGAGATTCACGGGCCAAAGGAATTTGCATAGGCCTGGCATCACGAGATTTGCTACATCTTTTATCACTCTCTCTCAGTATCACAAACAGAAGAACAATTTGAGGAAGTTGGTGACCTCAGAAGACTGGAGATCAAGCAAATGGTCTAAAGAAGCAGCTGGAAAGAAAGTTGCGTCATATTTATTGCAAGAGAGTTTCTGGAAGGGTGTTGTATATGCTTTGAAGTTGGCGGGGCCACTTGTGAAAGTGTTGAGGATCGTTGATGGAGAAAGAAAGCCGGCCATGGGATACATATATGAAGCCATGGATAGGGCTAAGGAGACCATTGCAAAATCTTTCGGAGAAAAAGAAGACCTTTATAAGAAAACATTTGAAATAATTGATGAGAGGTGGCAATGTCAATTGCATCGGCCGTTGCATGCTGCGGGTCATTACTTGAACCCGGAACTCTTCTATAATGATTCTGAACGCATAACGAATGATGAAGAGGTGATGAATGGCTTGTACGCTTGTATTGCTAGATTGGTTGCTGATGTTGAAGACCAAGATAAAGTCATCAAGGAGTTGGATGCATATTCGAATGCCCAAGGCTTATTCGGCATTCCGGCAGCCATAAGGCAGAGAAAAATTAAATCTCCTGGTACTTTTAGAACTTACAAATCTTTCTATAACAAATTATAATTTTATGTTTATAAATTCAAATGATTTTCAATTAACTATTTTTTTTAAACTCTTGAAACTCAAACACCAGCGGATTGGTGGAATTCCTTTGGATCATCTACTCCTACTTTGAAGAAGTTCGCCATTCGAGTCCTTAGCCTTACTTGCAGTGCTACTGGTTGTGAAAGAAATTGGGGTGTTTTTCAGCATGTAAGTTGTAATCCGCAAATTAAACATGTTGATTTTCATAGATTTTAAATTTCAAATATTTACATAATTTCATTTTGACAGCTTCATACTAAGAAGAGAAATCGATTGGCGCAAAGTCGTTTAAATGACTTAGTTTTTGTGAAATATAACCGTGCTTTGAAAAAACGGTATGAGAGGAAAGACACCATTGATCCCATTCTGTTAGAAGAGATTGATGAAAGTAATGAGTGGTTGCTCGGAAGAATGGAGAATGATGATGAAGACGATGATTATGTGTTTGAAGATGACACTTTGACTTGGGGGGCAGTTGCTAGAGCTGCTGGAGCATATGAACCTAGTTACGTCACTAGGTCAGCAACTAGGAATGATGGAGCTAGCACATCAAACAATGACAAAGGCAAGAGGATTGTTGAAGAAACTTGGGAGGAAGACTTGGGAGTAACCGATGATGAAGGAAATGACGATGTTGAGCTTGCTACTCTCGAAAATGGGGATGATGACAGTGATGAATTCTAGGCCTAGATTTCACAATTGTGCTTGCGAGCTTGCTACTTTGCTTTTTAATTATGTTTTGAAGTTTTAACATTGAGTTTTGTGACTTGACTTTTGGCAATTATGCCTTTAAATATATTTCTTGCTTCTGTCTTATCGTCTTTAATAAATATTAGTTTCTCTTATGATGTTTATTAAGATTCTTTAATAGTTTGAAGTATTTTTTAGAAGAGTGCTTCATGTAGAAGTACTAAAAAAATATTTCACCAAAGAAATGTGGCTGAGAACCGTGAGGCGAGCGCCTCATCGCCTTGCGCCTCGCGCCTCGGGTAAGTCAATGAAATCGCCTCAAGCCGCCTCACGCCTTTTAAAACCAAGATGTTCACTACAGGTCATCCGGAAACAATCTCTTTGTGCTTTAGTACAGGGGTAAGATTGCGTACATCCGACCCCCCCACCCCACCATAGGTGGGAGCCTTTGTGGCATTGAGGTAATGATGATGATGATGAGTAAATAAGACTAACAAATAAGACTAACATCTAGTATGTAATTGTTAATAGAATAATAGCAGATGCTAACCTTATCCAACAAAGCCTTTATATCTACAAGCCGAGAAATAACAGGATGATCACAGACTGGTTGCCCTTCTGATTTAAGAAGTAGGTAGAACGTAATAGCCTGGCAATATGAGAGTAGAAGCAGCTTTTTGGTCTCCATGTAATTCATTTCTCCTTTCTTTCCCCTTTCAACAATGATCTTTAAAAATATCAAATAACCAGAGAGCAATTATTAAACCCACTGACCTAATTCAAGTGCAGAACAAATATATATAATCTGAAGAAACCATCAATACATAAATACATTGCTTGAGAACTGGTGATTTGTCTACAGCGGAACTTCTTAAGAAAGCATTATTAGTTTTATTAGCAATGATGTCTAAATGTCATATATTGCTATATAAAAGTATTAGAGGAGCACATGCCAGAGATGTTAGATAATGAGGTAGTACCTTGCTCAAAAGCGGATTTACTTTGTTATCAAGCTCCTCGAGTGCTTCATTAAGCTCAGACAATAAACCAACTAATTCTGGGGCAGAGCTACATTGGAAAATAGTGGATAAAGTGAGAAGCATAAATGAGAAAGTATTGACCCATTGACAGAACGAGACAAGTAGTTCACCTATAGACAACATCCATCTGCTCTTCCTTTGTCAAAGCATTTAAATCTCTCTTTATTTTCTCAAAGGCAATTCTAGTTCCATCGACTTCTTCTTTATCTGAGTCAATTCTTGCAGTTGGTTTTACCTTTGTATTAATTTCCTGCAGCGGAACAGTAATGTAATTATCTTGTTCCAATTCATTCAAACAGCATTTTATTTTCCTTCCCAAATTTGAATAGTTGATACCTAAATGCTAATATGCCAATCGCAAGACACAAATATCTTACCTCAAATGTTGCCTCCGTATCATCTTCAAGACCAAAGTCTTCTAATGTCAGACCTTCAGCTTTCTTCTTCTGCAACCTCATAACCTCTCCCTCATCCTCATCACTCGAATCTTGCTAAAAATGGAAAGAAGTGTCAGTTTCATTACGTTTCAACACTCTTATCTATATCACAACAAAATATATGGAACTGTTTCCTTAAGATTACATTTGAAAAAAAAAAGTAATGGCATATGTGTCATGAATGCTATAAATACAGGATAGAATTTATATGTACTAACATTATCGTTTTTGTAATAAACTGGCTTATGCCTACTCCACACAGATCTCTCTTTCTCGTTTTCATCAGCTTCATCATGCATTTCATCATCAACCCCGCCCATTTTGGCCTTTAGATACTTTAGCTGCCTTGACACTGCAAATGTAGAACGCTTTAAGATAGTGAAACATATACTCTAATCAATATGCAATTTAGGAAAATGTTTTCATTCGACAAGTTTATTGAAGCCAAACAGTGGAAGCGTAGTTGTGAACAATATAAGATTGATAGCTGAAGTAGATACTAGATATATGAGTGTATCCGCCTTTAATTGTCTTAAAGTGTCGTAGGCTTGGAAGTGCATACAAATGAATACTCCTAAACTACAAAAATCATCATAAAAAGTACTTCAATGTGTAGGGAGGTTATTTAATTACTTTTAGCAACATCCCCATCATTGTAGTCATCATCATCTTCCTCTTCATCTTCTTCGTCATCATCCTACACAACCAGCATATTAATAAAAGGCGTATCTTTAAAACACATTTTCTCCTGAAAACTACTACTGCATGTTTCTCAAATCAGCTGAAGTGTTAACTGAAGCGAGATTATACCTCTAAATCATACACAGGATGCTCGTTATCTTCATCAGACTCATCGATAGCATCTTTATCAATGTCCAACGGAATTATATCCCTCTGTTTGTGAACTGCAACCAGACCGATAGGAAGAAAAATTGTAGACATAATTATAATAAGGAAAAGAACCACGAGAAGGGAAGAAATATATACAGGCATCAATTTCGTCATCCATCATATCATCGTCTTCATTGTAGAAGTCTGTTTTGGAAGACTTGCTTGAGGGGTTGCTTTCCCTCTTTTTGTATTTTCCTGCGCTTCTTCCCATTGATAATCTCTCGTTGTGCAGGTGTTAAGAATATAGAGAGCAACAAGGGGTTTCGCCAGAATAGATAGGAAGGGTTTTAGCCGCTAAAGCCCTCGCCGTCCAGAACTTGTGCTGGTATTCTAACCTTTGAGAATATTGTTCTCTCTCGCGCCGAACGCAATTACAATATGCACTGACAAAGAGCACAGAATGGTGATTTGCTGGGTAGTGGGTACAAGCCCCTGTCCGTCGCCAAGGGTTTATGTGAGGGTGAATAATGATGGTTGGTACTCTTTAAAATTAGTTCTTTTAAATTGAAAGCCCCCTTCCTATAAATTAGTTCTTCAGAAGACAATTTATTACACCAAATCTCCTCATGATAGGTAAATTTGACAATCTTTTTTTTTTTGAAGAAGAAGTAGGATTAGAGGTCGTTTGGCAATACTGTTTTTCTGCTTATCAAGTTTATTGGCCAATTTTTTCACCATACACGTAATTTTTAGTTTCGCGCGCTGAATTGTGTAATAAGCTGAAAAAGTAAGGTTGAAGTTACTTTTCTGGCTGAAGTTACTGTAGATGACTATTTTAGCTGTTTTACATACTATCGTATAATTTTTTCTTTATTTTATTAATAAAATATATTTTAAAAATAATTTTTTTTAAATCAGCAGAATCAGCCAATGCAGCCACTTCAGCCAGAACTTCATAAATTTCAGCAGAATCAGCCAAAACAGCCGATTTTCGTGCTACCAAACGGGCTCTTAAATTGATAACACATTATTCATATAGTAGGTAAACCGACAAAAAGACTCATGAGAACTGTCGTCCCTCGAACCAGACTCAGAGTTTTATCACCTCGATAGAAGCAATATAACTCTCTGATCCATTAATGGGCACAAATGATGAAATGAGACAAAGACAGTTAACGCAGTCCTTTCATCACACACACCCAAATCCACAGTCTTACAACAAAAAACATACCACAAGGGAAAGCAAACAGTATGATCAAAGAAATTAAAAGGCAAAAAGACAATAAAATAAAACTTTTGCTCCTTCATGAGCACCACTTCCAACCACGTTCCGGAACCTCCTATCTGTTTCTGATACTCCGGCGGCGGTTCAGGAGGAGGACGAGCTGGCAGTACTGTAGCTTCTTCCTCACTCTGTCTCTTATTCATCATGTTCTCTGTCAAGCCTCCACTTTCGCCACCAATCGCAGATGACCTTGAATTCAGATCTGTTCCAACTTTTAACCCCAAGCTCTGACCATGACCTTTACTCGATGATGTCATCTTTTCCCTATTGTTGTCTCTGTTTCTTGTTCGTGCCAAAAAAACTCGTCGCATGATGAAACTTTGAATCGAAGAGCCGCTCAATCTATAAGATCGGCGGAATAACTAAAACCCTAACTAGAGGGACAACGACCGCTTTAATACTTCCAACCAAAGTTCATTAATTAAGGGCCTCGTTTACCTATCATCTGATGATGACGATGGAAGGAAGATGACCGCAGCAGTACGCAGGAAGACGACGTAGCGCAGATCGGAAGGAGGCAGCCGCGACGCAGATTCCCCATAGGTCCCGTACTCTGAACCCTAAACTTTTGTTATTTAAAAATTGTGTTAAACTTTCGTGTATTTTAATTAATTATATGCAAAATCTCATCCAAGAAAAAATTTTACAATTTTGAAATTACTTGTCTTAATAATATTATTGAATCTGCAAGTAGATTTCTAATTTATACGTAGTACAAATATACTAATCATTTTTCATTTATTTGACAATTAAATTTATTAGAAGATATTTTACGCGTGAACACCGGGGGTTTGGCGCAAATTTCAAATCACATAGGGATCATGCACCGAATTTATATTTCACGAGTGGGTTTAGTGCATTTAACCTTAAAGTGGACTTATGCTCCGTTTGTTTAACCTAAGTTATTGCAGATTTAATTTTTAATCAACCTCATGTTTTTTATATTTTTAGGACAATAACTTAGGTTGTTAGTAAACTTAGGTTCACTTCTCATAACTCATGAGAATCCGCGAAAACCTAGAATTGAATAATCTTCAAATTGGGGGGTTTGGACTTTGGAGGTTACGTCATTAATGAGTTAGAGCACCTTCATTCAAACAAAAACTTAAAATATTGGCTTAGGTTCACCTATTTTGCTTTCAAACGACATTTTAAATATGCACCTAAATTCATTTAGGTTCATCTATTTTTTTTTGTTAAAACCTAGATTTACTTTGTTATATTGGGTTTAGTTACGTCCACTCAACCCATGGCATTAGGATGTTTTTATTAGATTTTTAGTCCTAGACCAAACCATACAAACCATATTAGACCAGATCAGATTGGACCATATCAGACTTGAACACTAATAAAATACACAATGATAAGACATCTACCAGACCAAATCAAACAATATCAATTCAGCCCAGACAAGACCATATCAGACAAAACCAGACCAGACCAGACTAGAAATTTTCCTTCTAATTAAAAAAAAACATCGTTGGCACTCATCTTTTATCTTCTGTCCCATTTAAAATTGAAAAATCACATTTCTACACAAAATTAGTATACAAATTGTACACACTCTAGTGATCTATGTACAGAGATAGCTCATTTTAAAAAAATAGTAATTGTCTGCCGATTGCGTGTATACACGGTTGTGACAATTTGTGTACAAATTTTGTGTATAATAGGAATTGCCTTTTAAAATTTCTAGAACTCTCACACAATAATTCTTACAAAATATAAAATAAAGGTAAAATTGACACGAATAATCCTTACTTTTACATATTTTACAAAAATAATCCCTACTCGTGAATTTCACAAAAATAATCCTACTAGTTAGTTGTTTTACAAAAAAATCCGAGTGCTAACGGTGCTAACTTTTCGGTTATTTTTTTATTTTGAATATATCAATGCAAAAATATGTATAAAAATTAATAATATTATATTTTATTTTAATCTTTTCCTACCATAAATTTAATTTAATATTTAATATTTTTCATAAACTATAATAAAATATAATATGTATTAAACATTCTACATAATTTGTATTAATATTTAATATAGTATTACTAAAACTACTTTGAAATCTTTATTATAATGAATAACAAAAATGAATATAAATAAAATATGGATAAAGAATGAAAGATAATAAAGAATTTGAAGAGTATGTACTATTTAGTGTTCAAATATTTCTATTATGTTTTATGAAAAATATTGAATATTAAATTATATTTTCAATATAAACAATTAAACTCAAATATAATATTGTCAATGTTTATATATATTTTTGCTTCAATATATTTAAATTTAAAATTAAAAAAAAAACTTAAAACCATTAGCGCTCGGTTTATTTTTGTAAAACAACTAACTAATTGGGATTATTGTTGTGAACTTTTCAAGTAGGGATTGTTTTTGTAAAATGTGTAAATGTATGGATTATTGGTGTCAATTTCACCTAAAATAAAAAATCTTTTTGAGAAATTACGCTCATATAGAATGTCTATAACTTTTAACATTAGTTAGTCATAACAGCTTAATATACCGAATAGAACTAAATCAAACAGTCAACTTTTTATCAAACAACTATAATTTTTTTCTTTCGAGATTTTTTTAGTAAATAAAAGTTAACAATTACTAAAAACTCACAAAAGTATCTTTTCCGGTAATCGACTAAGTGAATGTTTGTTAGACATAAGTCTCAACCTTCTAAATTTTGTACTATTTAAAAAGTTTATAAAAACGTCTAGTTGTACGTTTGACATGAGAATTTTTAAGAGATTTTTTTCAAAATAAAATATCTTTTCGAGAAACTACACCGAGTAAGTAGCATATGAGCAATGTTTGTAGCTTTTAGCATTAATAAGTCAAAACAGATTGTATACCAAACATAACTAAATTAAACAGTCGGTTTTTTATCGAACAACTGTCAAATGTTTCTTTTAAAATATTCCAGTCACTAGAAGCTTTAATAGTTACTAGAAAGCTCACAATAAGTATCTCTTCACCTAATTGTGCCAAACTGATCCTAAATCACATGTGAAATGGAAGGTAAACGTCTAAATAGAGCCCTCTGCATACTAAATCATCTTCATACAAGAGGTCTTGTGTTTAACTCATCACAAATATGAATTCGATAGACTTTTCTTGAATCATTAGCATCTGGCCTCACGAACTAGCTAGAATGGTCATGCAATCATTTAAAAATTAAAAGACATTTCTCGTGCGAAGTGGTGGATATATAGGGGCAATAATTTCGCGAATTAATTGAGCGACTTGAGATTACTTCTCTCAAGGATTTGTGGTGTGTTTCTTGAGTCTGATATTAATTTGACGAAGTCCGGATCACATGGTGTTTATAAAAATGAAGTTAGTAGATAAAAAGTTACCTTGTTGTATTATAGTGACTATAATACTAACTGTATTGATCATGATAATGTTCAATTTTACATTATAATTATCATGATGATATATTATAGTAATTTTATTTCATTTTCATTCATTTATTTTGTTTCAATAATATTTAAGAATATACTCATACTTAAATTATTATTATTAACTCAATTTTCCTTCTCTAAAAGACTCAATTTTTTATTTAGAAATTACATTTAGAGGGTGTATTGTATTTGGGATTAGTGAAAATTTTTTGAAAGTTCATGGATTTTAAAATTTTAGGTATATACAATGTAGACTTTGAAAAGTCTAAAAAAGTCTAGGTGTGTTCAATGTAAACTTTAAAAGTCTATAAATGTGTAGACATATTCAAGCTCCGTTCATTCTTATTGTCTTCTAAAATCATGAATTGTTGGGGACTTTTAATTCATTTTTAGTACATTAATTATCTGCGATTGTGTCTTCTCATCACGAAAGATTTTTGTGGACTTTTCTGTTGTTTTCTACTCGTCACAAGTATGCATAACTCTAGTTGCAGAAAAACACTAGATTTGACAAGTTATTTACTCCGGATCACAAACCGGCCAACAGGGCTTGGACTAGTACCGACCGGTTTGGAAGGTGCGTAATAGGATGATCTCAATATGCAAGATTTGAAAATTGCATTCTGATTTTTGTCATTTTACAATAAATAAAGTTAAACAAGAAGATTATACATTAATACTTATACACAAGATAAACTTACAAAGGTGATTCTTATATGTCGTCTTATGCAGAGAAATGTAGGGAAGAAATCGGTTCAGTTTTTTAAAGAAAATCAGGAACCATTTGAAGAACCGTCAATCCAATATCGATTTGGTTTTAGAAGTTTTTAAAGAAACCAATATAAGAATCAATAGTATTATACTATTATATCAGTGCAATTCTCCTTATTCTGGTATGTTCTCAGCTAACTATTCAAAGAAAAATATGGTAACCATTACAGTGTTTCATCAAATGGCTAACACGTGATACTTGCCTTCTTGTACTTCTTTAACCAAAAATTAAACAGATGTGATTTTTTTTAAAATTGTCTTAGGCTGAAGGCAAACATTGTTGGCACTATTCACAGCCCATCATGTTCCACCACACAAGTAAAATAGTTTGCCCCTTCATACTTAACTTGTGTTTTTTTAAGTTGTGTTTTGGAGGTTTTGTCATTTTTGATCCTCCGACTATTGTGTCATTGACACTTTTATAACTCGATTTTTAATTTTTCCAATTTTAATCATCGACTATTGTGCTAGGGACACTTTTAGTCATCAAATACAAAATTTTCCACATTCAGTCCCCTGATTATTATCAGATTGACACTTTTAGTCCTTCCACTATGATTTTGACACAATAAGTGGATGACTAAAATGTCATTGTTATAATAGTTGAAGGACCAAAAGTGTCACTTGTATGAAAGTCAGAGGACCAAATATGGAAATTTTCAAAGACGGGTACCAAAAACGTCTTTAGCGTAATAGTCGATGACTAAAAGTGAAAAAATAAAAAAACGAGCACCAAAAGTGTCAATGACGTAATAGTCGGAGGACTAAAAGTGGGAAAAACTCGTGTGTGTTATCTTACAATTTACTTTCATTCTATGCCTACACGTACATATATTCACTATAATAAAATTTAGGAATAATTCACATAAATAATCTCAACTATTTGGAGTCTTCTTATATTAATCCCAATTGTTGATAATTCTAATATAATCTAAATTATAAGGTGCATCTTCTCATATCAATCCATGACCGGTATAAACCCAATCAGCAGGTCACCTAGCCACATGGCTTGTTTTAATTGGACCTCATATTTTTTTTCACTTTTCTTTATATTTTGTTTACTTTTCCTTTTTGCCCTTTCAAGACCCACCCTGCTCGTTCACCTTCTTCTTTTCTTTTCCCGGCGAGTCTGTCTGTCTCAATAGTCTCCGCAGGCCGCCATTCTCCGGCACCATCACTTCTTTTTTTCTTCCACTCGATTTTCCTTTCCTTCTCCAACTTTGTTTTCTTCTCTTGTTTTCTCCTTCTTCTTACTTTCCGATGGAACTTCCTCAATGTGAGCTTTGGTAAGCGCTACAATGGAGTCTTTAAATTGTGATTTGAGCTTGGATCGAATTTAATTTTTACTTTACTATGGAGTCTTCCTCCATTAGCTTTGGTAAGCGCTACTAGGACAAAATGATTCGAATTTTATTTTTATTTTTCTCGTTGCCGGAACTTGGTCTTTGCTTCGTCGGGGAAGACCACCGAAGTAGGGGTGTAAACGAGCCGAGCCGAGCCCGAGCATGGGTATGCTTGAGCTTGAGCTTGGTAAGAATTCACGAGCTCGAGCTCGATCTCGAGCTTGGACGAGTTAAATATTTCGAGTTCGATCTCGAGCCAAGCTCAGCTCGAGCTGTATTCGAGCTTGATTCGAGCTCTGGTCAAGTTTCGCTAATTAATTTTTATAGATTTGAACTTGAATTAGATGCTCGAACTCGAGCTAGAAATATTATAGGTGTACTTTTTCATTCTCATTTTTAGGTTATTTCTTATTTACTAACATTTGTATTCTTATTTTATTGTCAATAAATATTAAGAGTACATATTATAATTATTACAGATTATGAGTATAATAATAATACTACACACATGTTATTATTTTTGTAATTATTACTATTATAATATACTCCATCTGTGATAAGTATTGAAATGGAATAGTCCTAAATTGGAATATATATTTCAAAAAGTGTATATATATAATTATTACATATATATTTATTATATATAAAATATGACACAAAGGCTCGCGAACCGGCTCGCGAGCAACGAGCCTAAAATAAATAGGCTTGAATTGAGCTTGTTAACTATTCGAGTCGAGCCGAACTCGAGCCGAGCTTAATATGACCGAACTCGAGTCGAACTTTTCCCGAGCGATCCACGAGCGGCTCGCGAGCGGCTTGGCTCATTTACACCCCTACACCGAAGTAATGAATTCTTGATTTTACTAGACATTGCTCCTGTATATGAAGGTTGTGCTTTATTTTCGGTGCCCGTATGTAAAGGAAATTGTGAAAATGACGGAGAAGAACCTATGTAGATGGCTGTTATCGATTATAATGGGATTATGAATAAGAAATTAAAGAAGAAATGCAATGGAGGGGAATGACTATTGATCGATGGCCTTCCGCACTATGAGTTCTTATCTTTAATTTCTTTTTCTTTTTATTTCTTTTTATTTTTTATTTTACCGGTTTAACAAGTTCCAGGTCAAGTGAGATCAATATGAGAAGACTACATATGAATTTCGGATTATTCTAGGATTACACATTTTTGGGATTAACACATGTTTGAGTTTGTCAAGTGAGAAGACTACATTTTTATTCGAGTGAATTTTTCCTAAAAGTTAACACATGTTTGAGTTTGTCTTGTTCTCTATGCCCATTTCTTCAATTCACTAAGCAAATGATGTTTTGTGGGTGATGGATGATCGGATATTATTGAATTATTTTTTAGAAAATTATTTTTTTGTGTTATGGTAGTTTAGTTTGTAAATGCATTTACACATTCATTACCTATAACAAATGCAGCTATATTGAATTATTATGTTTTTATGTATGTATTACTCAATTTGTTGCACGATAGTGATATATGTTTATTGATTATTACTAGTTGAGAAAACTGTCAAATAAGTCCTCGAACTTTCATAAAAAAGTCAATTAAGTCCTTCTATAGAAGACTCTGTCCGGTCGTCACGATTTGGGGCGGTTCCCGGTGGATTTTTTTGATGAAATTTTTTGAGCACCTTATTCATCAACTCAAGTTTACTCATACCAAATTTCAGCTAAAAATTTAATCGGGAGCGCATTCAAATCAATTCGAGAACGCAAAAATGCGCAGTTATCTTCAAGAATTAATTTGAATGTGTTCCCGATTGAATTTTTAGCTGAAATTTGGTATGAGTAAACTAGACTTGGTGAATAAGATGCTAAAAAAAATTCATCAAAAAATTCCACCGGGAACTGCCCCAAATCGCGACGGCCGGACAGAACTTCCTATAGAAGGACTTAATTGATCTTTTTATAAAAGTTCGAGGACCTATTTGACAGTTTCTCTTACTAGTTACTTTTATTTTTATGTAACTTAAAGTTTTTATATTGATAAAAAATAAATATTCATCTCAATTATATCACATATAACATGAATATTTATGAACCTTTTTCAAACTAATCATAAAAATGTAAGTTAAGAATATATACACTTTTATTCCAAACAATGGAAAAAAGTATTATCTCTCCGCATTGTTATACGAAGTATAATTCAAGACATATTTATTTTCTCCCTTTTATTTTATATTTTCTAGTATGTTGGCATTATTTATGTAATATGTTTGATTCTCCAACTATTGTATCATTTTAAATTAAATGACAATCTTTTATAAAAAAACAGATAAAACGAAATTGAATCGAAACATACCGAACCAATCAAACTGTGATTTCAAGTTTTAAAATGTAAAATCGAATCAAATCGAACCAAACTTTTTACTTTGATTTTGTATTTGGTTTTTAATCAAAATCGAACTCAAAAAATAGAACCCACACTGAATTTCTAGCCCTCTAACTTTAGGATGACATTACTAATAGACATCTAAATTTTATGATAAGAGTTATATTCAATTAGGGCTAATTTAAGTTTGTATCTCATATTATTGTCTAAATTGAACTTTGCACCTCGTTTTTAAAAATCTTTGTTTTTGCACCCCAATCCCATATGAAAAGACAAAAATGCCCTCAATAAGGAATATGTTGAAGGTCAACAAAATTTTAATGGAGTTGCATTTTTGTCTTTTCATATGAGATTGGGGTGCAAAAACAAAGATTTTTTAAAATGGGATGCAAAGTCCAATTTAGACAACACTATGGGGTGCAAACTTAAATTACCCCATTTAATTATCCCATCCGTCCTACAAAATTCATCTCACTTACCATATATAGGACGTTCCCAAAAATATTACTACGTACTACCTCCGTCCCAGGGAGAAGTTCCCAATTTCTTTTTTTGGCAGTCCCAACAAGAAGTTTCCATTTCCCTAAATGGAAAGTTATTCTACATCAAAACAGTGCCAAATAGTGCAAAACAGTGTCGAAACAGTGCCAAACAGTGTTGAAACAGTGCCAAACAGTAAAATTTACCCCCCAGTAACTTTATTTCCTTAATATGTGTGAAAGTCAACCCGGGAACTTCTCCCTGGGACGGAGGGAGTATCATTTATCTTTTTGAAAAGTTTTGAATGACTAACATTCATTTACTCATAACTTTTTTTTTAATCGATCGCAACTATAAATCTATACATTTCCAATTTATTTTCAGTTATTTAATAGTACCTCCGTCCCATTTATATTGGGACGGAAGAGGGTGACACTGTTATTAAGAAAAGTAGGTTTGTGTAGTTGATATTAATTGATAAAGTAAGAATAAAGTAAGAATGATTTAGAGCCATACAAACTTTGTCAAATATGGTATGAGACAATTTAAATGGGACTTCCAGAAAAGGTAAAACTGGACAATATAAATGGGAAGGAGGGAGTAAGTCTCTAAGGAGGACAAGACAAAGCCCAGCGCAGGACAATGCTGCACTTGCCCGCCCATTCGTCACTTGCTTATGTCTACAACAACGTCCTCGTATGCCAAAAGCGTCTTTAGGAGTGAATGAAGTCGCGGACTTCCTTCCTTCCTTCCCGCCCTCAAAGACTCAAATGCAGACTTTCTTCTGCAGAACTCTGAATTCAGTCGGAAGGAACTTCGTACAAATCAACCAAAGGGCGTTTTGTAATAGCCGATATACCTCTCCTGGGTTCACACATTGCTGCTCCCAATCAGCTCGTTTCAAAAGGGTAAAACAGATTAGCGTTTGATTATCATAATTGATTTATGTCACTTTTGTCTTTAATAATGTTTCTTTAACACTTCTGTTATCATCAGGGTTATTGCGCTTTATCCTCATCCAACAGTACTAAAGTTGGTGTTACTACTAAAAGTGAAAGAGTACTTCAAAACAAGGCCCCTCTATTGGATTCCAAAGCTCATAACAAAGGCGGGATAGTTCAACCTGACTCTGGCAATGGCAGGGTAATGCTAATTGATGGAACATCTGTTATATACCGAGCTTACTACAGGCTTCTTGGTATGTTCAAACTATTTATACTGGGAAATTGTCAGTAATCATGGTCTGTTTGGTAGAAATTATGGCATTTTACCTATAAGCAGCTGCCTTTGAGTTCCTTACATGTATATTCTGGATTTCATGGATAATTCGGACACACTGTTATGTAGGAATCTACTCGATTTACATATATGCGGTTCTTTTACAGGTCCTTGGGACAGACCTTTAAAGAATTAGAGGTAGATATTATCACAAGATGCCATAGATATTAGAAACTACTCTCCCTTCATTGCCACTTTAGCCTTTTTTTTCCCGAGTTGAAGTACCACAATATATTGTCCACTAGGCGGATACTATTATTAAGTTTCAAGTTATTTGCTATATCATCTCGTTAGCGATGAATAATGTGTCTGACTCAGGAATCATTGTCAGCTTCTCATTTTGTATCAGCTTTGAGCTGTGGTTAATATCTATCCATGTGGTGTGTCTTTCTACTCTAACGGTATATATGGCAACATATGCCCTATATATATTAAACTCTCAGCAAGCATCATATTTAACTATTAGTAGTTTCATAATTGTATTATAAACAAAATTTTGAATGAAAATCTTTAAGTTTTAGATTGAAACTGCTGTCGCAGCATTTGTATCTTATCTGTTATGTTTTCTCTGCTTCTCCGCTGATTTGGACCCCAACTAATCGTCTAATCTTCAACTCTAGTGCTGAAATGCTGATTTTATTTTGTTTATTTTGAACAGCTAAACTGCACCATGGTCACCTTTCCAATGCAGATGGCAATGGGGATTGGGTCCTAACTATATTTACAGCATTGTCACTTGTAAGTTCATGTTACTTGGATTTGTGTGATTGCCTCTCTTTTTTGTTCAACACAATTGAACCCGTGTATATAGCATAATTAGACATCAATCTTGATATACCATTACACAATTTTTTAAAATTCGAGTTTTCATTCCATGGTAAGTCAATGTGTGAGCAATTATCATGTATTGGTGCCTTTTGACTTTAAGAAATAGTTGTGCACCTCTCGAGAATGTTCAAAAAGATTTTACGGGGTTTCTATTAATGCATCACTATAGTCTATAGAGAAGAACATTTTTTATGTTTTGATTTAGGCGCTTCAATGAGCAGGCTAATGTAGTGGATGTGGAGTAGATGCATTTCTTTTAACTTTTCATCCCTTTGATAGAGGATTAAAATATTTACATTTCAATACTGCAGATTATTGACGTGTTGGAGTTTGTTCCATCACACGTAATGGTACAGATCCTATCCTCACTATTAATTATGTTAAACATTTTAGTGTCTATAAACATTCAATATATATTTTAGTAGCTTCAACCTATATCATTTCCAGCTTTCCACAATTATTATATCTCTGGGCTAACTGGGCAAGTATTCAGTATACATGATCCATTCTATTCTTTGACTCTTATGATGGACGTTACAGAAACACCTCAGCTATTCATGTCAAGGACTCTAGGTAGTAGATCTTTAAAACTTCAACCCATTTCATAACCTGAAAATGCCTCCAAACTTTTATGTCCCGGTCATTTCACAAGATTCCATTTCTTGGGTGCATTCTTCACACATTTGATTTGAAATTTGAATGGCTGCTTCCTACATAGCTACTATTAGTGGTCTCCATTGACTCACTTGCTACGGTAACAAAAAAGTAACAATATTTATCGGGTAATGTGAGGTGCTTGAGCTTTTCAACTAGCCTTTATGCCATTTTGGATCCTCAAATTAACTCTCTTGTACCGCGTCCAAGTCCCAAATTTTGAACCATAGCAGCTCCAAAGGGGTTGTTGCATCAAGTAACTTAGTATCCTCAAGTAAATCCAGTAAACATTTCTTTTATGAGAAAAATCTCTCTCTTGTTACGAACAACCCTAGTTCCAATGGAGTACTTCAATGAACCACAATCTTCTGTGTAAAAATTAATATTTTCTTCAGATGAATGTCTTAGCTCTTCCATCGGCGTGGATCATCATCTGAGATCACAATATCATCTGCATCACTATTAAAAGAATACAACCATGATTATTATGTCAGTAAAGTTAAATAGAACAAAGTACTCCTTTGCAACTCAAACTTTATTTAATCGTCTAAACTCGAAACCATGCTTGTTGCAGTTATTCTATAGCCTGCATACCTTCCCATATCCTTCATGAGCAACAATCTTAGGTGGTTGCCAATGTAAGCTTCCTTTGCCAAATCATTATGGGAGCATAGAAAAGCATCTTCACATCTAATTGATAACTAAGATAATGACAAGCAGCATATAGAGATAGGAAAAACAATTATATGTAAGCATATTCAAAAGAGGAAAATATTTTAGTGTTTCACTTTAATCCACAGTTCCACAGTCCACACCATGGGGTTGGGCATAAGTGCATAACTCTTTCACTACCAATCAAAGTGCATTTAGTTATGTCTGTCCTGTCATAACCCATATGCATTAGTCTTAACCACACATAGACCCATCTACACCTCAATAGCTATATTACTTTGTTAGGAGATCAACCAAATTCTAGCTCCCATTGTCCTCCAGGGCCATAGTTATTCTTTTGAACCACACCTCTATCTAGCATAATGAGAGAATGAGATAAGGCATGGTGGTGAAGGCTCTAAGGTTCTGGATATTTGATAGAGCCCCCAACTAAGATATAATAAAGCACGTGGCAAAATAAATAAATGATTAGAAGAGACAAAAGTAGTGATTGATAAATGCAATCGCATCTAACTTTTCAGAGATAAATGGGAAGATCTAAATCAGTTTTAATTGATGCTGACTGATAAAAGACATTAAGGCTTGAAGCATCTGATATAGCAATTGGTGAAGTAATTTTGTTGTTCACAGTTCACCAGAAGAGAACAACATATTGATTGTACATTTGTATTACAATGCATGCATGTACACATTTAAGGGATATACATGCTTAACACCGTAGACCTACGTCCGCACCCATTGCTAGAAACAACTTTGCAAGTATATCATGTAAGCAAAGCGGGAGAGGTAGGCAGTAGGCTCTGCTCATAGTATATGCCATAAGTGAAGGTTATCCTTTTGACTATATTGGAATTACCATCCAATATAGACTCATAAAATTAGACTCATAATTTGTTACCACATGCTGATTGTTTTCTTCGGAAAATTGATTTAAAAAAATTTCAATCTACTTGTAGTATTAGTAAGATTTAAGTTACTCCCTCCGTCCCGCTATGATTGTCCCATTTTACCTTTTCCGGAAGTCCCACTAAGATTGTCCTATACCAAATTTGGTAAAGTTTGTGTGGCTCTAATCATTCTTACTTTATTTTTACTTTATCAATTTTATATCAACCACACAAACACACTTTTCTTAATAATCGTGCCACACTCTCTTGTCTCAATCTTAGTGGGACGGAGGTAGTATTATACTTGAATCGGAAGTTTAACTAGAAAATCCTTTTGCATAGAAACTCCTCTTCAATATCTTCTCAGTTCTCACATGATGGTTTGCTCAGCATTCACTTTTCTGTGCCTTTTTATTATTATTGTATGCCCTATAACATAATTTGTATTCATCTCTTGCAGGTTGTTTTTGACCATTATGGTAAGCATTGAGATGTATATTTTGATTTATTACATTTCGACTTTTCTTCATCCTTCAAGTGTTATTTCCTCCCTATTGATACACTGAACTTGCTCCTTAATCCTTACAATGACTTTTGCTTTCCATACTTAAGAGTCATGACATTCCAAGTCTTACTAGTGGTAGTTGCTTCTGATGGATAACAGTCTAATTATTTAAGTAATTCCAAACTATTTTATTTCCTTCTACTGATTCAATCATAATTAGCCTTAAACTCTCTAGACTAATCTGCAGTATACAAATTTCTCTTGATTTTGATTTAGTTATGATGAGCAATCTACCAAAAGTTATTTTCAGAGAAATAGGCGATTGTGCTATTTTTAGTGTTATTATAGTGGCACTTTTCTCTAGTTTATTCTCAAATTTCTAAGTCAGACTAGACTAAAAGGTTAAACCTCTTCCATGTTCCAGCTGATGACTGGATGCTCACCATCTAAGCCGGCAAACTCTTGTGTGGGTCTATTTTTGTTGTACTAGAGAGTGTAATGTAATCCCGTTAAAATTTGCAGAATTTGATTGCACATTTTTAAGAGTTTTTAAGATATGTGTCTCTTTTAACATAGTTTATTTGATAACAGATGGCTAAGCTGTTCTATTAGGGTCTCATTTTATATATCTGCATTTGAACAACATTTGCTAAAATCAAGATTATCACTTTCAGGACTTCCATTTGGTCATACATCTCTTACACCAAACCAAAATCTTATTGCGAAAGGTATAGCACCCTTCCCCCACTAGACCACACACCTTTTTGAAGAATAATTTACCAGTCATAAAAGTAGCAGGGATTGCTTAAATGTAAATATGTAATACAGGCAATGCAGTAAAGTACCCCTCTCACCCAAATTGTTAGAGGGATTGTCCACTAGTTCCAAAAGTTTCGTAGTTTCTTTATTTAGGCTGTAGGTTTTTTGTTGTTGATAATGTGCAAGTGATTTCTTACACCTTGTGATCCAAGAGAAACCTACTTGCTACTTGCAGATAAAGGATAGGATAAAGCTAACTCTAGTACTAATTACAATCATAGTTGTCGTGGCATATGGCGACCACCATGGCACATGGGCAGTTTTCAGTGGCGAGGGTGATGGTGCATATATGGCATCACCACAATGCACTAAAAACGACAAGTATAAAATATAACCTATATACAATATAGCTGGGAAAACTATCAAATAAGCCCTCGTACTATGTCGAAAAAGTCGATTAGGCCCTCGTACTTTACAAACACTCAATTAAGTCCTCGAACTATTAAAAAACGTTCAATTAAGCCCTTTTGGTCGGTAAGTAATCGGTTTCCCGGTTAAACGGCGACGATGTGCTCAAACCCCAGCAACGGCGGCTGCCGGGAAACGGGTTACATTTAACCGGGAAACCGGTTACTTACCGACCAAAAGGGCTTAATTGAACGTTTTTTAATAGTTCGAGGACTTAATTGAGTGTTTGTAAAGTACGAGGGTCTAATTGACTTTTTCGGTATAGTACGTGGGCTTATTTGATAGTTTTCCCAATATAGTTCTATGATTTAACCATCAATAAAAAAGTTAAACAACCAAAACCAAATCAAACACTCCATCAAGTCATAATAGTACCAATAATAATCCTAATATAACACACTTAACCAACATAAAAACCGCAACAAGATCATGCTTGGCATCTGGTATATCATATTGAAATATAAACTAGTAAAAGTCATACAAAACCATTATGAAATAGTCAAATAGTTCTCTGCCTAATACTGGATCATTCACACTACTAACTACCTAATATATTGGTATCTAAATCTAAACATAAAAAACTAAACACATTGTATAACTTAAACTAAACATACTATCAAAGCATAAAACATTAAGTGATAAAACAAACATAAAATATAAACCATACTGTATAGCATAAACTACTATTATAAAACTAATATCTTAATACGTTTAATAGTATACATAATATGATATTACACATACTGTCATAAGCCTAACTTCTAATATTTAATAATACAAATTGCAATAAAAAAAAGGGTGGCCCGGTGCACGAAGGCATCCTTGCAAGGCGAGGGTCCTGGGAAGGGTCCCACCACATGGGTGTATAAAGGGGCAAGCCTTCCCCTGTCAAATTTTGACAAGAGGCCGCTCCCAAGACTTGAGCCCGTGACCTCTTGATCACTCAACACCTTAACCCGTACGCCAAGGCTCCCCTTCAATAATACCAATTCCGATATTACTACTAAAATATACTACATATCATAATAACGATATTATTGTTGACAGCAAGGTAGAAAGAAGGATATATAGGTCTACTTTAAAAAATGTCTAAAATAAGACCCTATTGTGGCGCAAATGGCGCAGGCGATAGCAATGGCGCCGCCACAGGTATTCTCTTTGCCAGGGCCTGGGAATGTGGCAAATACCTCATAAAACGCCAATGGCGACAAATTGCCACCACATTTGCGCTATTGACTACTCTGATAGTCTGATCATAATGTAAATATATTCATCACCCCATATAATGTAATTCCGCTGAACGATGAGGTTTCACCTTTCTCCCCTACATGTGTCAATTATTGTGTGAACAATTTGGTCTGTCTGATTGCAGCTGCATTACATTCCTGTTACTGACTCAAGTTTTAAGGCTCAGTTGGTCTAATTGAAACAAGTCATTGTGGAATTTTATTAATAGGCCTCAATTTTCGTCACAACATTTACCCTGCATACAAAAGCAATCGCCCTCCTACACCTGATACCATTGTTCAAGGACTTCAGTTTCTGAAAGCATCCATAAAAGCAATGTCCATCAAAGTCATTGAGGTACGCAGGGTGCATTTTGTAAATCTTTTTCCATGGCCCAGATTTCGTCCATGATTCATCTGTATCCCAGTAGGTCCCTGGGGTTGAAGCTGATGATGTAATTGGGACATTGGCGGTTAGGAGCGTGGATGCTGGTTACAAGGTAACATAATTCTTACTGTAAATCATCATAATTTCGTGCTTATTGGAGTGGGTTGTCTTGTTCTCGTACTCATCTTTTCTTTAAACATCCTTCTGACCCTTGGAAGTTTTATATGTTTCATATATTAAAGCAATGTTGTATTTATCTGTCTCTTGTGTAACTTTAGATTTGCCTAAGGTGCTTTGAAGAAGATATTGATGCTTATAATTTAGTTTTTTTGCTTTTTCAATACTATAAAAACCAAATTGGCTTTGACAAATTTGACTCAGTTTCTCTGTCTGGATGTCTCACAGATTTGCTACTTTTTCATGCTATGAAACTGTTACAGGTTCGAGTTGTTTCTCCAGACAAAGATTTTTTCCAGATTTTATGCCCTTCATTACGTCTTTTGCGCATTGCTCCTCGTGGGTTTGAGTTAGTATCACTTCAATTGTCAACATTTGAGCAGTCTCTATAAATGCCGTTGTTGAATGCAAATTACTTTCTTAACATTAAACTTTTGAGACTTCATGTAGTTTATAAATTAATTGACAATCATATTAAACAGTTGAGGAAATGCTAGAACATTTTTTACTGCCACATTAATTCTTAGGCTAGTCATTCATTTCACAAAGTAAACACCTCACACTTTGGGCCTCAATATCAGTTGCACTACATTTCTATTCTTGCATATCTGATATCTAGGACCACATATATGATACTTCATACGTAGTATTATACTCCCTCCATCCCGAAAAGGTTGGCCAAAGCTGACTTTCATGTGGATTAATAAAGTAAAAACTGTGTGGTTGAAATTTGTGCAGAGGGGAGAGAATTAACTTTAGCCACATATTTCTTACTTTAAATGGAAATGGCCAATCTTTTTGGGACATCCAAGAAAGGAAAGTTGGCCAACCTTTTCGGGACGGGGGGGGGGGGGGGGGGGTATTATTATGAGTTATTAAATATATAGTATCTTCCTCTTTATCAACACCTTAATTTTAACTAGTTGGGTCGGTGGCATGAAATTTAGTGTCATTTAATTGACCAAAACTTGTTTTTATTTACAAATTGACCATCTTTAATGAACTGACTAACTTAGTTAATACAATGGATTCACAAGGAGAACGTAATGTAATGTTGATGTTCTACGCTGGGTGCCCTTCCTATCCCAAGTCTCAACATTCTTATGTAGGAATACTGAGATGGGAATTCTAAAACCCTCATCATCACCATGTTAACTCCACATGCATGTGAAATGTCATGTCACTCGTATTTACTACATGAGTGTTAATATGATATTGTAAAACCCACAGGCGTAACTGTGGAACATGACCACAAAATCTACTATTGCGCACTTACGAAAAGTTCAATATAAGGAGACAATAGAGTTTTATGATCAAGATTTGTTTAAAGATCTCATCATGGGACTGATATTCGCTATTGTGCGTGCATGCTAAGTTAACCTTTCACCACTTTGTTGGGATTTTTTCAGGATGGTCTCGTTTGGGATTGAGGATTTTGGTAAAAAATACGGAGGATTGCACCCTTCACAATTTGTTGATGTTATCTCACTTGTAGGTGATAAATCAGATAATATACCAGGTTAGTATCTGCTTCTTAATCTCTAAAGCTTTATTGCGCAAAAAAATGCAATATGTATGATAGGGAATTCTAAAGTTATTACCTTCAGGAGTCCATGGGATTGGAGACGTTCATGGTACACAGCTCATCATGAAATATGGTATATGCTGCATTCCTTCACCACCACCTCTTTGCTATTTTTCATTCAACTTATGGAAGGAAAAACCTTCAAGCACAATCGCATATCCCATGAGCATTCAGTTTCCTTTGATTTATTTTTTTTTCAAATTAAACATGGCTAACTTTGTGTTTAGAGAATTATTTATGTTTAAACTTGACTTTCATTGAAGGGGAGCCTTGGTGCACCGGTTGTAGTGTTGCTATGTGACTGAGAGCCTTCCTCGCGAAGACTTGCCCCCTATACACCTTTGTGGTGGGACCCTTCCCCGGACCCTCACTTTGCAAGGATGCCAAAATGCATTAGGCTGCCCTTTTTTTAAACTTGACTTTCACTGACCTCCATAGACCCCTTATGTTTAATTTTTTGTTCCAGTCATTATGTTTTAATTTTCACTCACTGAAACGGTAGCTATTTTCTAGCTTCTTACTGTACTCAATCTGGATAGGTACACTTGAAAACTTGCTGGATTGTGTTGAACAAGTTGAGGAGGACAAAATCAGGGAGGTTGTTAATTGCCTTGTTAATGTTTCATAGGTTTCTCCATTGTTTTCTATTTCCCCATGTTATATACATTCTCTTAAGGAGTGTGAGTGTTTGGTTTGAGGGGATGGGAGGGCTCCCTCCGTTTTTTAAGGCAGGAAATATGGGGTAAGCGAGGAGAAAGAAAAAGATTTTCCTCCTCCTCCCAACTTTTAACCAAACAAGGGGAGATAGGAATAACCCCCCTCCTCCTTCAAACTAAAACACCCTTACTCTTAGATTTGACTGATCAAGTATGTGTTTCCTAAAATGCTATTTCTTAGTATGTGATCCCTCTGTCCTAAAAGAAATTTCTCATTTGCTTTTGGCACGCAACTGAATAATTTAGAAATAAAAAACAATATCAACTACCCAATTGTTTAGAATTGGGAAGTTCATTTTGGGATACACCATAAAGGAAAGTGAGAAGTTTATTTGGGGAAGGAGTGGTATGCAATTTCTTCACAATTTTATATTTATTTGTTCATGTATTTGTATTTTAATCACTCTCTTGCCCTTGACCTCCCATTTCAATTGCTAAAACGCCGACCTTATTTGATCATTTCAGGCATTGATATCAGATGCTGATCAGGCTAGACTAAGCAAGAATCTGGTATATATTTGTGTTTTATTTTTCCCTTAAAAATTTAGAATATAAAAATGAATCCAATGCCCAGAACCTCAGTTGTCCTTGCAGGCAATGTTACGCTGTGACCTTCCATATTATATGGTTCCTTTTGCTCCAAATGATCTGCTATTTAGGAAACCAGAAGTAAGTGTGTTCCCCTCCGTAACAACATACGTTCTCTTAACTGAAAAATTAATAACTATTAACATTTCAAAGTACAAATTCTTGTAATTAAAGATGATATTTTTGAAATATTTTTTCAGAATCATACTAATTTCATTAGCAAAAGTTGGACGTTTGTAAATATAAATTTCCTGATTTGTCTGGATATATCTGACAGTGCACAACCTAACATGATCAAATTACACACTATGCAGGACAATGGGGAGAAATTTACAAGCCTATTAACAGCTATAAGCGCTTATGCGGAAGGATTTTCAGCAGATTCCATCATCAGAAGGACAAAATATCTATGGAAAAAGCTGGAAAGGCAATAGATGTAATAGGCTCGGCCCCACCATCAATTGAAGATAAAGTTGCAGATTTCGAAATTGTTGTATAAAGTAGTACTCATCACTCATCAGTCTTGTAATTTTGTCTATGTGACTAATTCATTACTCAAAAAATAGATAAATATGAGAGGATAATTGAAGTTATATTTTTATGGGGGTGTCCACGAGTCCATCTTGTGATCTAAAAAAAGACCACCCTGTGAAAATGCACTAAGTAGGGCTACAAGTTCTGTACTTGTGGCGCATTATGAAATGAAGTATGGGTTTAAGGTACCAGTTCTGGATTTCTGGGTCCTGAAGTCTACGAATGGAACGGTCAAGGACTTGTGGCGCATTATGAAATGAAGTATGGGTTTAAGGTACTTTTCGGTTTTTGGTCGGTTTTTGAAATAAAATTTCGGTGACAAGACTGGAAGTCTGGAACTTGTGGAATAGGTTCTATTTTGAAGAAATCGCTCATTGAAATAAGGTACTGAACGGGCATTATGCCTGCTAATTGATCCCGGATTCAGTTTTAGAATCACTCATCAATTTGGTTTTGTGGGAAAGAATCGGATGACCCTGGTCCAGTTCTGTAGGAGGGTCTAAGTTTCAACAGTAGCTGTGATATTGATATAGGATCGAGATGCAGACACCAAAATATGAAAAAGATGAAGTCAAATGTGGATATACTTTTTTATGATTTTTATCATATTAATAACATGAAAAATAATGAAATATGTGTGCTAAAGCATACACATTCGTCAATTCGTGAGGGGTTTATATTTCTGTGCATGATAATAAACATTTGAAAGAGTATTTAATGCCTATTACTATCCTAGAAAATATTGAAAAATGCAGGAAGTTTTAGGGATGTCCATAATGATTTTTAAATCCCATTAATCCATTTATCCAATGAGGCTTCACCGAAATAGGTGAAGTCTCATTGGACTGAACATGCATTACTTCACCAATAAAAAGTGAAATTTATATGTGACTAAAATATTTATAGATTCTAATATGTGACATAAATTTAAACATGCCTTTATTTGAGTAATAATTAAATTGGAGGAGAAAAAGTAGAATAAAAGCACACAACATATAAAAGCTAGACATATTTTTATTAATTTTCTGTAAAAAAACAAGGAATTTTATCAATCCAGGAATTAATATGCCCAATAGGAGAATCCAAAATAACTACAAAGGAAAGCTGGAGTCGAACCCGGGTCTATTGCTTGGAAGGCAATTATCCTAACCGTTTCACTACAGACGCTTGTTGTTTAACATATTCTTACTGATTCTCTATCAAAAAATAGGGCCAATGGAAGAGGTCAAGAAGCCAAAACAACTATATTTAAAAGCTTGGGAAGAACACAACAAAATTACAAAACCAATTCTGCGTCTGCCGGGAGTCGAACCCGGGTCTATTGCTTGGAAGGCAATTATCCTAACCGTTGGACTACAGACGCTTGTTGTTTAACTGTAGAACACTACGTTTTTATAATCAAGACTAAAACAGAAGAGAAAAATTTGCATCATAAAGAGATGCGTTTGCCGGGAGTCGAACCCGGGTCTATTGCTTGGAAGGCAATTATCCTAACCGTTGGACTACAAACGCTAGATGTCTAGATTTCTGAATAGAATTTATTTTAATAAGAAAACAGAAAAAGCAACTCATGAGTAAATTAAAGCATTCTTGCCCAGAAGAGAAAGATTAAATGTAAAATTAATTCTGGGATTTCTGGGGAGGATGAGAAACGCACCACTCAAAATATATATTATGGCAGAGGTTTCACACGTAAAACTTGGTAGGGGTGGGAGAACTTCCCAATTTTTTCCTACATTTTATGTGTTTTTCCGTCCAAATTTGCCCAATCAACATGTCAAGTACGATGTTATCCCATAATAGTCATGCTAACATTGTACACATTATTTTTTGACACATCAGCGTCACATGAGTCCAGATCTGATGCATTGGAGACGGAAATATGAGATGCAATGTTGACTTAATTGATGATGAGGCCGTTTTTTAAATTAATGTGTACAACTCCCATTGGTGATGCTCTTAGAGATGATCCAAAGTCAATTATGATTTACACAAGATAAAAACAAGTATTATCAATGTTAGATGACCTACAAAATATTTTGTTGATCCATTATGACCAACAATCTCCTAATGTTAGATGTGTATACATATATATAGAATATTAAGTTAAACTTAAAATATTCGGTTATAAAAGTTTATTGTGTGCAATTATATATCTCATAATAAAAAATTATATATTACAGAATCCTGCAATATTTTTCACTCACACTTTCACACACAATTAAATGGGGCACATACGGACATACATACATATATATTGATATATGTGAGGCGATATATTCTTGGCAGTTGAGCAAATATGTTGGTTTATTGCTTTAGTAACATTTTTGTTTCATTTTTCAACACACTAATTAATCTTACGTCGTAATTTAGAATTTGCATACTAATCCAAACTCTAAGCGTTCAAAGAATTGTCATTGGGAAGCCGCGGGCAACAAATGATGTCGCTAAACTGGTAGGTTTTATGTCTGGTTGCTATGTTTGGCAACAAATGATATTGTTTGTATTTCAGTTCAATTCAATTCATTGATCAATGATCTTATTAGTATAAAAAAGTAGTAATGAGTCTATTTTTTATAGTTTAACAATGTTCCATTCCTAGTTTAGTAAGATTTACTTTTTTCACATTAGCTGTGTAGAACACCTAGGCAGCTAGCACAAGGAATACATTTCATTGAAATGTGTAACATATTTGTTTTTGTATAATACTTCTATTTTAATGAAATTTAGTTACGTTTTTATAAAATAGGCACTCCCTACTGTTTTTTACATGTACTACTAGACTCAAATCGTCATTTAAAATTGGGTCTCCAAATTTATTAGTCTACTATGCATAACCGCAAATTGTACCGTACGACCGATATACCATGCGCATGGTATACCGGTCCAATATGACACCGTTTCAATTAATAAGAACAAGCTCGCACGCTCCTATCTGTTCTTCTCCATCACCCAAGTCTGCAATCCTTGTTTTTTTTCTATTGGATTAAAAAATTCGCAGAAAATCAATTTGTTTCACATGTTAGATTCCTCGTTTGATTCCTCGTAGGTGGCATCGGATTTTTGACTGATTTGAACACCATCTGTGTAGCAGAGGTTCCCCTTGGTAGCAAACCCATGAATCAATGAAGGAGCCTTGTCCATCTCTAGCCAATCTTGATAGTCTGGCCGGCGAGTTCCCCTGCTCCTTTGTTTCGTTAATTGAGGGAAGGACCGATTTACATGGTGTTAAGTTAGGGTGTACAGTATTGCACAAGTTAATTATTACATTGTGATCGATGTTAAGTTACATTTGCATTAACGAGATTTTGCTTTGCAGATATTATAGTAGAGTTACATGCCAAATACACTGGAATTACTTGTCGTTTTGGCTAAAGTTACATTTTTTAACACACGGTTTACATTTCAATTTTTCTCAATACTTACATTTTGGTTACACTGGATTTACATTTGACATACCGCGAGTTACATCACAAATCTATGCAAGTTACACAACAAAATAAACCTCTGTTTTTCAATAAAAAATGATTTTATCATTAAAAATCATTTTTAATGGACCTAATATTAAAAACAAACACATATACACTATTTATGTAAAATAATTGGACAATTAAACTCGTTTTTTCATTAAACATGAGTTACATTTCAGGGCACAAGTTACATATGTTGTTAATTGAAATTACATTTGTAGCAACACGAGTTACATCAAATTATGCACAAGTTACATCATTCATGTTATTGGGATGAAAATAAAAAAAATACTGTACACGCGTGTACTGTTCACGCGTGTACTGTTCACGCGATTTTTTTTAATTTGATCAAAACTACGTCGTTTTGGGGTGTGGAGCATGGTGCTCACCATGCTCCGGTTTCACGGTATACGAACTGATGCATAACATATCCGACTATCCAGGTCCGGCTAATCATACCATTTTTGTCCCAGGCCAGAACAGAACATACCAGACTTGGATAGTTATAAAAATACAAAGAGACCAGAACAGACCAGACCAGTTTAGACCAGATAAGACAAGACCATACTTGGATAGTTATAAAAATACAAAGAGACCAGATCAGACCAGACTTGACCAGACTTGGATAGTTATAAAATACAAAGAGACCAGAACAGACCAAACCAGTTCAGATCAGACCAGACCATCAAATCACAGTTCAAGTAAAAACATCCTAAGAATGTTACAAATACAACTTATACGAATGATTTATTATTTCAATTTACCACATGTTTATAATCTTTGAAACTCTGGATTGAAATCTCTTCATAAGTCATAAGTCATAACAATTATGCATGGGTTGTAGATGAGCTTTTTTACTCACAATCTATCACACACAAAACAAATACATACATTACAATTTACAAGAATAACAAGAATTGAAGTTAATTAAATTAACATCTTTATTTTATTTTCACTCAAATTATGGCAACACCAAATTAAACGCATGCACTTTGGCAATGCCTGTATCAGTATGGCTCTTTATCAATCATTGTTGATAAACCCAATAACAAATAATAAAAGAATAAAATTAATGAACCAAAATACAGGTTTCAATAATGTCCTTGTATATATACGCTATATATAGCTAAGCTTAGCAAACCAACGAATTACGGTTATATAGAAATTTCCAGGCTGGCTCATCAATGACCCCCTCCTCTTGGGCTGGGCCCAGACGGCAACATCTCCAACCAAGCCGACCAGCTGATCCTGGCCTGGTCGAGCACTGACGCCGACGGGAGGTCCGCCAGGTGGTTCGCGGCGGCGAAATCTTCCGGCAACACTCTTCCGGCCTCGACGCTATGAATCCGGCTTGTAACCGTCACGAAAACGATGAAGGCGACGATGACCAACGAGAAACCGCTCATTCTCCTCAGGCAATCCATTCCCAATTCCAGATTTTACACTTGCAGGCGACTATTTCTGAATTAATTTCGATTATTGAATCAAGATATATAAGATAAGAATAGAATAATAATATGATTATGTGAGTAGCTTGAGATATTGGAGTTAGATGAGAAGTGTGTGTATATATAGAGGGGGAGGTGGAGGGAGTGTGGTTGTTAG